GCCCACGTAACTCTACGTGTTTGCGGCCTTGATATGCCGGCCCCCTGCAAGTCAGACTACATTCTTTTCTGGTCACAGTCCTACCCGGTCAACGCGACGCCGCTCGTAACGTCGCCCGTACGTGCGAGGCTGCGGCCGCCTCAGAAACTCTACACTTGTTCTACCGGCGTCGCATGGCCTTCCTCGAACCAGGCTCGGTCAGGTTAGCGCGTGCCCACAAAGTGCACGCCCACACACTCTCTAATCAATACAGATGGGACGCGCCCTCAGGTATCGTCAGGCGTGCTCTTCCTGTGAGTTGCAAGAACATGCCCAAATACCGTTGTAAGGGTATTCGAGCCGACACCGGGGCTCGGGATGATTGGAACAATTAGACCGGCGCCAGAACAAAGGGAAGTGGCGGAGTGGCGACCTTCTTCAGGGAAGATGGAGTCGAGAGGACCCACCTTCGTCACGGGGGAAATCGATGTTCTAAACATCGTGCGAGCCTTGGATCATCGGATTCCTCTTCCGATTGGTCATTTACTCTCAATATCAGAACAAGCCAACGAACGCATGTTGCAACACTGCAAAGCCAATCAAAAACGATTCGCCCTTGCCCAGACAGCGAACACGAAAGCAAAAAGTCCAACCCAAGACGAAAACGCTGTTGGTACCTCAGACCCGATACGATTAGGATTAATCCAGAAAGATGATCACTTCCTACGGATTAAACCGATCCTATGGAAATCCGCAGAATGCGATATCGAGATATGGGGAATTTCGTACAACGCTATCATTGATTCCGGAGCCGCTGTTTTGGCTATCTCATTACGGGTAGTTGAAAGGGCAGGGAGAAAGAACGATCTAATCATGCTTACGAAAAAAGATCAGCTCATTTCAGTAGATGAAGAGAAGATTGAACCGGTGGGACGGATGACCAATGTTGCTTTTCGATTAGGGAAAGTACATGCTTTGGGAGATGTCGTAGTCTTAGACGTAAACACTTACGACGTCCTTTTCGGCCTTCCCGCTCTTGTGGCCTTGCGAGCCAATTTGGACTTCGAGAGACGATCGATTGTCCTCTGAAATACAGGAGGAAAACCCTATGTTGTACCGATGAGACTGACCCTTCGTACCACCACTAACGTAACCCCACGAGTTTTTCCCATGATGGCGGGAACCCTAGACGACGGGCAATCGTCAAAGGACGCGGACAGCAACGACGAGGACGATCCAATGATCCTGGAGATGGCACAACAACGTATCCATTACCCTGCGCGGCGAGCGAATGCGAACCCAGTGAGCTTGACTGACCAAAATCTACAAAGAACAGAAGCAATGATTATGGGTGAACCCCTCGTACAGATTTCGAGGATGATCGATTCTCTGGAACCCCCTCGAACCCTGTACGAAGGTATCTCCCCTCTTCTCGCACGATATAACGACAAAAGACACTTCTGCGACATCACGAATCTCCCACGATCTCTTTTGACACCTGCAAAAGAGATACGATTATTACGCTTAGGGGCGGAGACCAATTCTTTGGAACCCCCTGAGCGCCTCGAAACTGGGCTCGGAATCAAAATCGCAACGAAACCCGTGCCATGGCAGAACATTCGAGACGGAGTAACACCAGAGGAACACGTGGCCATTCGAGAGCAGGACGCACAAATGATGGTTACGGTATTCTCCTCGCGATCCGATAATTCGTTTATTTTCGTGCCCCGCCCTGAAAACACTAAGCGGGTGAGTACGAAATATATCGATATACGGATATGGGATGCGTTGTACGAGTTGCACGTGCCCCAATACGTACCTGATGAGATCCATCGCCTAATCGCGAAAATTCTAAAAGAATACAAAGGAGCGATTAGTATGACGAACACAGACATTGGACTGTCGTTAGTCATACAGCACGAGATTCAAACCGGAAACCATCCCCCGATTCTACAGATACTCCCTGGTAGAACGGAAAATGGCCCTTGAGCGGATTCGAGAATTTGAAGCTAATGGGTTGGATCGAACCCGCCACCGGGCCATGGTCGTTCCCGGTAGAATTGGTGCCGAAAAAGAACGTATCGATTCGCATATCCATTGATTATCGCAAGCTAAATGACATCACGATTAAAGATGTGTACCCTGGTAGAACGGAAAACGGCCCTTGAGCGGTTCGAGAATTCGAAGCTAATGGTTGGATTGAACCCGCCACCGGGCCATGGTCGTTCCCGGTAGTATTGGTGCCGAAAAAGAACGGATCGATTCGCATATGCATTGATTATCGCAAGCTAAATGACATCACGATTAAAGATGTGTACCCCCTTCCCAGAATTGATGATTTGCTGGATGCGATTGGATGTGCTAATTATTTTAGTAGATTTGATATTCGTCACGGCTTCCATCACATTCTGGTTAAGGAGGAAGATCGACCGAAAACGGCTTTTGTAATGTTCAAAGGCACCTGGCAGTGGGTTCGGTGTCCTATGGGGATTTGCAATGCGCCTGCCACGTTTCAACGAGCTATGAACGTGACGTTCCAGAATTTCGTTAACAAGACGCGACTGACTCAGGGGATGATAAACTTCTGTGTCATCGTATACATGGACGACATCCTGGTCTACTCAGAGACTTATCACGGGCACACACAACATATCGAATGGACCTTGGGGGCTCTGAGAGATGTCAAATTCAAGATCGCGCTCGAGAAGAGCAAGTTTTTCCTCTCGGAAATCTCGTTCTTAGGCTATGTGGTAACACGTGGAGGACTGCGGCCAGACTCGAGAAAGGTCGCGGCGGTAAAAGACGCCCCTGTCCCCACGTCGTTGACGCAGGTTCGAGCTTTTCTAGGGCTGGCGTCGTGCTATCTTCGCTTCATCAAGGGCTTCGCCGCAATTGCGTGACCTCTGACGAACTTACTGCGGAAGGACCAGCCCCTCAGCTGGGATGCAGAGTGCGAACAGGCCTTCGCCACCCTCAAGGACGCCCTGGCGAAAGCACCTATTTTGATCCGGCCGGACCTTACGAAGTGGTACATTCTTATCACGGACTGGCAGCCAGAGGCGATCTCCGCTATTCTAGCGCAGAAGGGGAATGGCGGTCGAGAACACGTCATTGAATACGCCTCACGCACGGTGCCGAACAGACAGAGAAACGACTCGGCCCCGCAAGGCGAGTGTTACGCCGTGGTCTGGGGAATCCAGCACTTCCATCCGCATCTTTACGGACAAAGGTTCCTCCTTATGACCGATCACGAGCCATTACCGGCTCTCAAGAAGCTCACTAATTACACGGGTATGATTGGACGTTGGGCGGTGCGCCTACAGGAGTACGACTTCAACATCATCCATCAAAAGACAGAGAGGCACGGCAACGCGGACGGGTTGACACGTCTGCATCGCCCCGCTAAGGTACCTAAGGGTGAAGAAATCATTCCGTGGAAGGAACCGGAGTCAGCGAACGAACCCAAGTACGGACAAGTGGCAGTCCTTCCACATGGCAAGAAGCAGGCAATTGGAAATGGGTGACGGAGGTAATCCTGTGACTCCTCTCTCTCCCCTTCCATCCTCATCTCTTCTCTCCCTACCCGACAAATTTTGTTATTTTTGCGAAGCAATTTTGCGCGCCTATTCGGTCCCTATGCGTCCTAGTGGGGAGGGATATGCAAAATGGATAGATTGTCGGCAGTGTGTCGCACGAGCCCATGGCTCGTGTATCCAGTACAGAAATGACGATAAGCCTTGGTTGTGTCCTTTGTGTCGGGTTGATAAGGCCCCGACCGAGGCTCGGTTTCTTGACGCCACGTCAGAAGGATTGGAAAAGACTCGGAAGTTTATAAGGGCCAAGGTATGGACGGATATCTCGCTAATTGCCACCTTAGTAGGTAACCCCCTCCAGGGCTTCATTAAGGAAGACAGGAGGAGGGCCAATGAAAGGGCTTGGGACTATCGCTGGAACGAGGGCCGGCTAGAAAAACGAAAGACGGATGGTAGTGGGATTTGGTTGATAGTGTCGCACCTGTTCATGAGATACGACGAGGTTAAGACGGCGCACGAGGCAATTGCAGCCCATTTTGCCATCCGAATTACAGAAGCGGCAATCGACAAGAATGAGTGGTATTGGTCCAACATTCGCGACGATTTAAGTTCATCGTCCAGAACTGCCAGGTCTGCGTCGCTGACAAGGCGCCGATTCAGCAACCAAGATCGATAGTGCCAACGGTAGTCGAACGACCTTTTCAAAGGGTTAGTATGGATACTACCGATATTGTGGTGCCCCCTGGACCTAATAACTGCGAGTACTCAATCCTACTAGTATTTGTAGACCATTTCTCAAAATGGATTGAGGCATATCCGTGTCGTACACGACAGGTGGCTGAAATTGCACGATACGTCAACTGGTTTTTAGGAATGCATCAGGACACAAAGGAAATCCTGACCGACAATGGGGTAGAATTCAGAGGGGAAGTTCATTCGAAACATTGCACCCCACATGTCACAATCTAACGGACTGGTAGAAAACGCAAACAGGGTGATAAAGACTGCGTTGTGACGAAACATCGCGGCGCGGACCCGAGGCCCTGGCTGGATATCGTAGATCACATCCTAGCGGTCCATCGAGGAACGCCCAACGAATCGACGGGCCTCAGCCCGTTTCAATTACGAATCAATAGTGTGGCCTGCGTTTCGATACCAAGCCTCCCAGACGAATCTTCGTTGAACTGATGGCCCACAAGGGCCACGGTTCGGGACAAAGCCAAGCGACACATGGAGCTGATGGAATGGCCCCTACCCCGATTAGCCCGAAAGCGCCAGAAAATGACTGAGTTGGCCCACCGCCGACAGGTCCGCAGTTACGAGGCCCGGAATGGGAATGCGGGACCACGGCCCAGTATAAATTAGGGGACCTGGTGCAGGTGAGGAAATGTGCTCGATAGCGCCACGATTCTTCGGGCGGTTTCGTATGATCGAACTCGGCCCGAACGGGGTGAACATCGTGCGCCTCGTACCGGAGGTCTCGAGAAGCCGATCGGCTCGACCGATCGTCCGCCACGTGTCCTATCTACGTCTTCTCCCTTCCTCTCCATCTCCAGTTGTGACTGCTTCCTCCTTCGCTACAGAGGAGGAAGACGACTCTTTATCGCTCTCATCCCCTCCTGCATCTCTCGCCCCTTCTCATACCCCGTCCCCATAGCCATCGCCATGAGTTTTCTTACTGAGCAAGCTCTCGGCGATCACATGCTAGCGCCACGTGGCGACATTTCGGCAATTCAGCAAGTTTGTCGTCCGCGGCTCAGTCCAGATCTACTCCCACTCGCACAGTTCTTCAGCACCACCGCGGTGTACGAGGCGGCGAAGTTCCGATTCACGGGCCATCGTCAAGCGATCGTGTTGGCAGAGGCGTCGGCTGTTCGACGGCTGTCGGCACGGGGAGTTCGCCACGTGTCTACCGTTGTCATCTTCAGCGGTGATATTAGCGCAATCAACCCTCTACGACACACGGCCATCCGGACATCACTAAGGGAGTGGGGCCAGCAGCTTTGCAACAGAGTGGAATCAGTGGCTTACGCGCCGCGGCGACAATCTTGTCCCCACGGACGGCATCGACGTCGGAGGGCTCCGAACGTCTCGGCACGAGCCGGCGGTGGTGCTTCCGGAGCTCGTTCCCTTCCAGCGTCCTCAATGAACTGATCCGAGATCTCGACCTTCGCTCTTCCCTCTCTCTTCCCTACCTTCTGGCAGTCTGATGTCTACCCCCGTCTCTCCTTCTGCTTAAAGCCCCTCGCCGTTCCCCTCATCGAACCAAGGCACTGGGAGATTTGGTGTGAGCACTACCTCACTCTTTCGCTCTGCCTGGTCGAAGTGGAGCTGACGTGGAACCGAGACAGCAAACATCGTGTCGCGAGGGAGAGCGTGGAGCTACTAATTATCCAGGCCTGGAGGACGGAAGTGGAGGGTGATCTTCTCGGATTCGTCTTCGGAGCAGTAGAGCCGGACCATCGCCAGACGATCGTGTGGGAACTCACGATCCCTCTTGCGCAGCTCATCGACGACCTTCCCCTCGATATCATCTCGCAGTGAGACGAAAGTCCAGTGCCGCACGTCCTCCAGCAAAGATTAACGCCCTACTTGCAGTGGTCAGCCTGCTTAGAGGATCGGACGGGAGGTGGCAGCTATCCATCGCGCACAGAGTACCTGAACCCTCGAGGGATCATTGACACCCTCTTCTTTTCGCCCCGAACGGCGGTGGACGAAAGAGCGGTGGCGGAAGAAGCTGAGGTGGAAGATGAAAGTGAGGAGGAGACCTCGGAAGAATCAGGGAGCTACAGCGAATACAGCGCGGAAGAGTCGGGTGGTGAAGAAGAAGAAGAAGAAGAGGATCAGTTGGAGGAAGAGGAGGAATCTGAGTGGGAGACTTTGGGTGAAGAGGCGGATCGCGCAGAGACTCAGGAGGAGGATCCCGAGGCGGCACGAAAGAGAGAGGAGATCGCAGCCAGGAAGCAGCCACTGGAGTTCGCAAGTGGTGTGGATCTGCCGATCCCAAACGACCCGGCTCACCAAGAACGACAATGGGGACCCTCCTGCCGAGACTTCGAGCGCACCGGCGCGCAGGCGACGGAGCAAATCCCAATCCCCATCCCTCCGTCCCCCAGTTCGAGCACGTGTCGATGTGGGGCATCGGGCTTCGTCCCCGGTCGTTATCCCACCGTCCCCTTGATTTCCTCACCCTCCGTCAAGTTACCATTCCGGTCTCTTTCCCCCACAACCCCTTCCTTACTGCAACCTTCCGCCACTTCTATGCCACCCGCCTCGCTGTCACGGTGCATCCGCACGTCTCTACCAGGTGCGCCACCCCTGTCTTCTGTCTCCATGTCCTTTTCAGTGCCGCGTGGCAAGGCCACAACATGATCGAGGTCTATTGCATAATTACGGGGACTATCCCCGCATGCGAAAACCATGATCGATTCCGAACGGCCCTCCTTCGCACCTTCACGACCCTCTATCCTGACTACCTTGCGTCCCTTCCCCATGGTGGCACCCGCTTCCCGCGCTTCCATCGGATCGTCCGATATCAGGAGCTTCCGAGATTGGAACGCTTTCTACCCCCACTCCCGACTAACCCGCCCCCTCAGCATGCCCCCATCTACCATCTTCCCTTTCCTCTCCCTGCTAGCTACTGAAGCATATGGAACTTCGGAACCCAACCATAACGCGTGGCGAGAGACGCCACGTGTCTGCACCCGAAGGTCCGACTCATAGGAATCGTAACCCTCACGGACGGGCCTCTCCTGAACCGCCATCACTAAAACAGGCGGATCGGACGGTCCCAGTTACACCGCGCATACGATCTGCCTTATGCTGCGCGACGCCAAACAAACCGGAGATAAGCTGTCCCTGAGCCCTATTGCGCCTATGACCCTAAAACCCCGCCACAGGAGATCTCAGTTCTGACCTGGGACTCCACCCCCACTTTCCCCAAAAATCCTTGGCACACCCCTTTTCGCACTTCCAGGCCCACATCCCACTCCGATCAGGAAGTCGCGCCGGGCGTGAGGTTGGGCGTCACATGAGGGCCTTAAAACCCTCACGGACCCAGCAGAAACGCTGACGAACAGCGAAGGTATGCTAAACATAGCCAGGGAATTTTACGAGGAGCTCTACAATACAAAGACTCCGACGCCCACTCCCCCTAGCACCAGAGAAACCCGAACTATAATGCTTCAATATCTAGATAAACAATATCACAGGAACAGGTGGACGCTCTAGACAAACCCATCACTTTGGAGGAACTGCAATCTGCAGTCCAAAGTATGAACAACAACAAAACCCCAGGCATTGATGAATTAACAAAAGAATTCTGGGAAAAGTTTTGGCCACTCCTAGGAGGCGACCTACTGAACTTCTACCAGGACAGTTGGCAAAAGGGTGGGCTAGGGAATCTGTTGAGCAGCAGCGTGGTTACACTGCCATACAAGAAAGGAGAAAAAGAGGACATACGTAACTACAGGCCCATTTCGCTACTCACACTGCCCTATAAAATTCTAGCCAAGGCCCTAGCCTTCAGGATCCTTGACCTCACCGACAAGTGTTTTCATATAGATCAGACATGCTTCATCCCGAGGAGATACATTCTGGACAATGTACTCACTCTTAACGAAGCAGCAAATATCCCGAGGAGATACATTTTGGACAATGTACTCACTCTTAACGAAGCAGCAAATAAAATACGAGAGAAAAGGATCAACACAACAATATTGTTCTTCGACTTTGAGAAGGCATATGACCAGGTCAACTGGGCCTTCCTGAACGCGAGCATGGAAAAGATGGGAGTAGGACCGGTCTTCAGAAAGTGGGTATGTATCCTATACAACGATGCCATAGGCTGCATACAAATTAATGACCTGATGTCAGACCGCTACCCAATCTCACGCTCAATCCGTCAAGGTGATCCATTAGCACCTCCAATCTTCCTATTTGCCATGGAAGCAATAGCTTCCTTCCTACGGAAAGACCCTTCCATTCACAGACTACCAGAAGTCCATGCAGGTTCAGCACACCATCTGAAATTTCCGACGGTAATAATGTTTGTAGACGACCTCACAGTCCTCATACGAGCCTCGGATTCATCCTTTTGTGCCCTTGTACGAGCTATGGAAGCTTTCAGACTGGCCTCGGAGATGAAGATTAATTGGGAAAAAAACACTGGATGGTGGTTGTCAGAGGAAGAATCCCCTCAGCTCCAGGGCCCAGAGGCGGAGATGACCTGGGAAACACCTGAGACGCCTACACGATATCTAGGGATCCTAATGACAAAAGAAGGTTTTGCCCCCCAAATGGCCCAAAACGTGCTGACCAAACAAATCAACAAAATGGGCAGGTGGGGTAACACCTTTACATCCCTGCTCGGTCGCGCGTTAACTATCAATACCTCTATTTTCTCGATGATGTGGTACATAGCCTCAGTTTCGACAGTGCCAGACAACTCAATTAATGAACTCAATCGAAAAGCGAGAGCTTACCTGTGGTCAGGTGACCCAAATAGAGTAAATTGCATCCCCAAGATAGCATGGCATTACATCACGAGGAGGCCAAGTAAAGGAGGCCTGGGTATTATTGATCCCAAACAAGAAACCAAAGCCCTCCAAGTCAAATGGATCACTAAACTTCTAACCAAACCAGGTACAGCATGGAATAAACTAGCTCTAGACAGCATCAGAGGCCTAGCCCCGATACGGACTCCAGCAGACATGCCCGGCCTATTCTGGGTGATGAACAAGGAATGGACGCCAAAAACCGGACGCAGAAATCGTAGACAAAGAGTCAACCCTCAGGAAGCCAGACCTCCCACACCCTACGGGGCAGCTCTGCTGCGGATATGGAGGGAAATCATGCCAAAAAAAGTCGGCAAACCCAAGGGAAGAAGTATTGAGGCAACCCCTCTTTGGCAATCCATGGTTAAGGGACGAAAGCGTGGAACATTGGTCATGTGTGGGATGAAGAAAAAAAAGACTGGGTAACGGACCAGGTACTTGCCTCTTGCCTTAAGGGCTGCCACCGGCGAGACAGGAACCTATAGACAATCATTAGCAGTATCCCAGAAGGCTGGAAAGAATTGTTGAAGCGAACGTTAACTTGGAAAACGGGCGAATGGGGTATTCGGATACAGGAAACGCCCCCCTCGAGGGCCTACCAATTCTCATACAAACAACCAGGCTCTCATACACTTGCTATACTCACGTCCTACCCAACTTTGTCGTCAGTCCATGGCTCTGCAGCTATTTTGGACAAAGACATGGAAAGGACAAGCCTAGACATCTTCCTCCTCAGGAAAGTGAGAGTTACGGGATCCTGGCCCAAAACGGTCTTCAGAATGGACACAACGATCCAGGAGTGGGAATTCGACCCAGCGGAACGGGCCTGGACATCAGGAAGAAACAAAAATACCAATATATACATCCAGGACTACTCGGTGAAAATTGGTTACAACTTACAAGCTATTCTGAAGATCCAGAACCTACAATCAGAAGCAGATGGCAAAAATCAATCGGTCAAGAGGCAGATCAGATCTCACAAATCCCAGGGAAGAAATTCAAATCAATCAGGCCGGTAAAAATAAGGAGTCTTCAATGGCTTATCGCGTACGTGGCACTACCGGTTAACCAATGGCTCCACATTTGAAGATGGAGGAATGATCCTAACAGTTCTGATCTATGCACAGTCTGCTCAGATAATGAACCGGAAGACATACTGGACTGCCTAATCCGATGTAAGGAAGCGACGGAGTACTGGGCTAAGGCCTCGGACCTCTGGGACTCCCTTTTCACAACACCCCTCCCTGAACAGCCCGTTCAACTTCTACTATGGACTAACATCCCGACTGATCTCAACAGTACCGAGAGAACATGGTATGGCATAATCAGAAAAGTTACACTTTGGTCGATTTGGAAAGAGAGATGCAGCAGGACCATCGAGGGACTATCAACTCCAAGAGGAAAGGTATGGGCGGAGACAAGGTCCCTGATACAGGCAGAGATCCTATGCAGATGGCAAAAACCAAGACGGTCTATGCCCGATGATGAGGACCGACAGAAGATTGTTCTATCCAAGTTTGTTAAAATTTGGCTGGTGGAGGGGAGGATTGCAGAAATAAGCGACAACAACATATGGTGGAAAGAGTGGCATAACTCAGAAGTGTGCTATAGGAGCTCAACCCTACAGGCAACAGGAGGCCCACAGGATACACAGGCCACATAAGGATGAACACGCCTTCTCAGTGCTGCTGTAAAACTGCACATTTGCTGATCCCATTTGTCCTTGCTCGACAAGCATATCTGACAGACTCCCGTAGAGGAATCTGAGAGGGAATTCGGGGAAAGGCAAGCTGACAGTCAATCCTCCTAACAGGAGCAATCAATGCTGGTCAGGGTTCCTTCGGCCATACGGAAGGAAGTGTGAGCGTGTATCCTGACGTATCCAAATTTTGACTTGCCGGGGGAATAGGAACCGGACTGACGCCTGGAGGAGCGAGTAACTCCTCCTCATGTACGGTATGCAAGTTTGGACGCCGTGCTGCTTGAGCAAGCGCTGGCTCTCAGAGGCTGCCTGGGAGGGAGGAGGAGAGCTCGGCGCTCTGCCTGGCTATGGCGAGCGGCCCAGCTTGAGGAGGAAGAAGGGGGGCGAAGGAGGAGAGTGGCGAGGTACCTACCTGTCTATGGTGGACACCATCTTTATCACCTTGTTAGGCGCTGCATCTGCAAGGCCCCAGGTGGGGTAGTGCCGCACCAAGGAAGCTTCGAGGCAGAGTCAGGCATGGTGGCCTGAAGAGCACCGGCCATAGCTGCTTTGTGTTGCCTTTTGCACAGGAGGGCAGAACCCRTAGTAGTCCGCCATAGCCTATGCCTGTGTGAGGAAGAAGAAGAGGGAGGCCATGGCTATGGTGGACCTCTTGTCAAGCTGGCAGTAAGAGGGAGCTCCGGATATTGATTCTGGTTCGACCACTCATCGTTATTATTATTATTTTGGAGAAGAATACGATTGGCGGAGACAAGGGGCGGCAAGGAGAGCGGAGAGAGAAGGGGGATTTGTCATTGGTCTTGCTGGTGTACATCTTCTTCTTCGTCGTCTTTCTTTCTTCTTTGGTCTCTATCTCTTTGCAAGTGCTTTCATTTCTTTCGCAATTGGGTGGCATTGTCTTTCCTTGTGAATTTGCACGTCAGAAACAGCCAGGATCGTAACATTACTCTACTTAAGTGAACAATGGGTCTTGTGTGGCACTGTCCCGTGAAACCCGTTTCCCTGTTGGGGCCACAGCTGGGCCGGGGTCAGGGCAATTTTTTTGTTGGGTGTGCGCTGTTGGTGGGTTTCGTGACTCGTTYGTTTCGTGCTTCAGGGACCACGCGAAACTTCTAGGGGTATATGCTTTTGGCACGTTTCATGATTCGTTCGCTTCAAGCTTCAGGGAACGCGCGCTGCTTGTCGGTTTCATGATCCGTTCGTYTCGCGCTTCAACGGGCACGTGCTGTTTCTGGGTTTTGCGATCCGTTCATTTCGTGCTTCSGGGGGCATGCGCWGTTGGTGGGTTTCRCAATTCATTCGTTTGGTGTGTTGTGGAAGGCGCTTTGTCGTTTTGCAGCAGTGGCATGTGCCGGGTTTGGCGAGAATGTTTGAATACAAGTACATGGCAGATTGATTTGTACGGCAAGAAGTGATCTCAATTTTCTCCCCCCCCTTTAAATTTGGACTATGTCTTGATTTATGCGTATCATCCATGCTCAGGGGGCATGCTAATCTTCTCTGTATCATTCCAATTTTAACAGACGTCCCAAAGGATGTGATCTCGATTTTTTTTTTTTTTAACTAAGCTAAATTCTTCTCTCAATTTCACCATTCACTGTCTACCTACCACTACTCCTAAGCCTGGACCCGGGTCTTCGTCGGTCGTGAGGCGTCTAACTATTCATAGAATCATCTATTTATTTCCTGCATATTACACGGAAAACCATTGATATCATCTAGAGTCAGAAAGATCAAGACAACATCGAATAGGTGTGAGCCCAGAAAACCACTACTACAACCACCGCCGACCAGGAATCGAACCGCTGACCTCTTTGAAAACCAAAGCAAAAAAGGACAGGAACCCCCGACTGTCCAAACATACTGATTGAAGAAACTCGCGGGGATTTGAACGTATTACCATGAAATACCTACAGCAGACCCCGGGACTGAAACTCGGGGAAAACCAAATTTTCAATACAGTCCCGTAGTAGGGTCCCACAAACAAAGCATTGCTGCTTTCTACTTATCACAGGTTTCACACTGAAAAAACAAGAGACCGTTAATACACCGTGACACCCATGACCATTCTCAGTGCGGGACTGAAACCCGCAGATCTGACTGCAGTACCACACACTTCTCAAAACCAGACTTCGAAACAGAAAACAACTGGTCCCAGAGACCATTGACCATTCAAATGTGGAAAAACCGAGACCATCAATAAGGTCCCATAGCATGCTCCCTGTGCAAGAATGACAGAAATAAATTTGAGAAATGGTCCAATTTTTGCAATCAGACTCGCTTTATTTCACACTCCACATGCATGTAAACAGGTAGCACAGCTCACCGGCGACGAGCACCCACTCAAAACTCAGAGATATGGGAACCAAGAACACAGTTCAGATACAAGTTCGCTTCCGATGGCTATGGCGCATCAGCGCCTGTACAACTCCCTGTTCGTCACTGCGCCCCACTCCACTGTTCACACACCCTCAACTTAGGATCACCCTGGATATCCCACACGCGTCACACTGTACACACACGCACACACACACACACGCTACACTCTCCTATCAGCTATGGCGGCTATGGCTGCTACCACCCCTATCGCTATGGCTAAGCTCTCCTTCTCGCCCACTTCGTCTTCTGTGATGTGGCAGAGCTTCCGCATGGCTTACGCAGGAATGAATGAATGGCTGGGCGCTGCCTCTTGATTTATACTTCTGTAGCTCGTTGGTCTGCCCCTTTCCCATGCCCCTGGTGGACACAGTCCCACACGGTACTTGCTTGAGTGGACTGAGACTGACTGGGACTGGGTACCGCTGACTCCGCACGGGTGGACTTCGCCACTTGCCC